GGCAACACAGAGAAACCCTTTTGAAACAAAACAAACAAACAAAAAATGCTCAAGCCAGGCCCAGTGTCTCTCTTCCTGCTGCCTTTGGATCTGGATGTAGAACTCTCAGCTCCTTCTCCAGCACCATGTCTGCCTGTATATCGCCATGTCCTGCCATGCTGATAATGGACTAACCTCTGAAACTGTAAGCCAGCCCCAGTTAAATGCTTTCTTTCAAAGGAGTTGTCGTGGTCATGGTGTCTCTTCACAGCAACAGAACACTGACTAAGACAATGTGCAGGGATGAGAAGAGGAAGGAAAGGAACTATACTCCCTGCCACTATGAGAACAAACTGTCCTGGAGCTCCCATTCCTGCTGCCACTATGTTCTGTGTAAGAAAATCACCAAGAAGACAAGATCCAACTCCTGAAAACTGTCCCGAGTTCCACATATGCACCACAGCATGTGCACAGGAACACACACAGAGAACACAATCTAGAAACATTATAAAATGCCAGTCTGAGACCTGAAGAGTAAAGAACAGCAGGGGACTGTAGATGGAAGTCAAAGGTGGTGAAGTGAGCTGTACGGAAGATAGTCTCTCAACTCTTTTACTTCTCTCTCTCCACTGTCACAAGTGTGCCTTGATGTGATAGTTGATGTTGGCATCTGTTGGCTGTACAATCACGTGGGAGACTGAGTGACCTCACCTACCTGTGTGTGTCATCGTCCCATGGGCACGGATGGGAGGAGGAGGGACAGGGAGGAAGCCAGATGGGCACCAGCCTGCACCTCCTGACATGGTGTCACCTAGCTCACACTCCTGCTGCCACCAACAAGCAATCTTGAACCCAATGTTCTGAAACTATGAGCCAAAATACATCTTCCCTTCTTCCTTCCTATCAGGTACTCCGGTCACAGCGACACAAAAGTATTAAGAACCTAGTCACACTGCTCCTCAACAGCACATACAACTCAGACGGAGACCAGACAAAGTCTCCCATAAGCGGGATGTTCTGGAGGGAATGCCGGAGTGAGAGGACCGGACCAGAGAGCTTTGGCTTTGTTATAAAGACACACAGGTCTCAGCTTAGTCATGCACCACCTGCATGCACAAATGGGCCAATCCAGACATGAAGGCACAGAAAACTGGACTGAGGTTGAGCACATATGTGACAAGACACAATTACCATTCTTGACTTAATCAATCTCCAGAAACTTATGGAAGGATCCAGCATCTGTGTGACACCATTCACAACATCAAAGATGCAATCCTAAACTACAGGACATGTAATTAACAGGAAAACGTGAAAAGATCAGGAAGAGTACTCTAGGAAAGACCAATAAAAAACATCTTATACATACATTCAGAGTGGCCACTGTAACACACATCCTCCAGGGGGTAAAGCAACACTCAGTGTGGCCATGGTAACACACATCCTCCAGGAGGTAAAGCAATACTCAGTGTGGCCATGGTAACACACATCCTCCACAGGGTAAAGCAACACTCAGTGTGGACACTGTGACACACATCCTCCAGGGGGTAAAGCAACATTCCGGAGAGGTCACTGTAACTCATATACGCCAGTGGGTAAAGGACAACACAATGCAATGGTTTAGAGGGTGATGGAAATAGAAATGCTTTTCTTTCTCAATTATCCTGATGATTTCATGAGTGATGGTTAGTACCGATGCCAACTTGACGGGATCCAGACTCACTTAGGAGACGAGCTTCCAGGCATGTCTGGTTGGGGCTCTCTAGATTGGGTTAGCTGAGGTAGGAAGACTCACCCTAAAGGTGAGCAGCACCATCCCATGGCTGGGGCCCTGGACTGCACAAAGGAAGAATGCAAGCTGAGCACCAGCGTTCATCTCTCTGTTTCCTGAGAGGTGCAACGTGATCAGCTGTCTCACGTCCTGCCACCATGCCTTTGGACTGCACCTTCAGACTGTGAGCACAGATAACCCCCCTGCTCTAAGGTGCCTTTGTCAGGTGTGTTGTGGAAGCAACAAGGGAAGTGATGAATGAAGACGCACATACAATCACACTGGTTAGACCATCCACCTACATATCCATGCACCTCCTACACACAACACACACAGTAAAGTATATTTTTACTGCAGAGATAGCTCAACACAGCTGTAAGGGAGAAAAGTGACATTAATCACATCTATACCAAGCACAAGGTGAGTGTTATTACCAGCCATTTAGCAGACCAGGACATTGAGGCTCAGAGAGGTGAAGTAACTGCCCAGAGTCAAAGTTAATCCAGAAACCCAAAGCTGACTTTTTATGTTTTAATAAATTCAACAGAACATTTGATCGGTATGTGGGTATTCTATGGTGTGTATATGTGTTTGTATGGGCATGTGCACACATGTGTGTTCAGATGCACAAGTGTACACACATGTGCGTGTGGAGGCCAGAAGTCAACTTCAATTGTCTTCCTTGATTGTACTCTATGTTATTTTTTGAGGCAAAGTCTCTCGCTGGGCCATTAGGCTCACCAATTAGGTTAGGCCGACTGATCAGCAAGTCCCAGAGATCCACCTGTCTTTACACCCCTCCAGCACCAGATTATAGGTGTGCACCACCTCACTCAACGTTTCCAAAGGTACTGGGGACCCCATCTCAGGTCCTCATACTTGAGTGGCAGACACTTTACCAACTGAACCTTCCTCCCAGTCCCTTCAATGAATATTTGTCGTTGTTGTTTTTAATTCCAAAGACTATAATAGCTCTTCATCTGAAAAAATATGACCTTGACTCTACTTAACTAGTGTAGTTATTGGCAGGGTTGAACAAAGTATATCTCTAAAAGAGTTAAAGCCCTCCATGATTCATGACATGTAAATACACGGATTCTACAGTGCCAGTCACACATTACAGGTTGTGTATCCCATGTCTGAACTAGTTGGTAGTGTTTAAGATTTGAGATATCTGCTGTGCAGTGGTGGTGCACGCCTTTAGTCCTAGCACTCGGGAGGCAGAGGCAGATGGATCTCTGTGAGTTCCAGGTCAGCCTAGTCTACAGAGCTAGTTCTAGGACAGCCAAGGCTACACAGAGAAACCCTGTCTTGAAAAAAACAAATGAACAAAAAAAAAATTTAAGATATTTTTAGATTGGGAATATGCATCTGTATGCACACACACAGATACATATGGCTGTGCACATACACAGATACATGTATGCATGCACACACACACAAGATATGCTGGGGAACCTCCAAGTCTAAACAAGAGGTTTATTGTGTTTCATATATGAAATATTAGACATATTTTCCAAAGGTAATTTTTAAAAAAACACTGTGACTATGTGCATTTTGACTATGACCTGCCACAGGAGGCCCTCTGTACATTTTCTTACAGAATTTCATATTCTTGATAATTTCACCTTTCTGATGATATGGTCTCAACTTGTGTTACTTTCCTAGTAAAAGAGAAGACATTTCCCCTTAAGTAACAGACTCCAGAGAACGTCCATTTTAACCTCTTCTTTTTTCACACCGCAACTCTCAGAGATTCAGAAGCAGCAGCCCACAGTGATGGTGTTATACAACTTAATTTACTGATACAGTTCACGGAAGGCATGATGTGACCCTACACCATAACCGGTGGTGTCTTTAAAACTCACTGTTTTTTTTTTTTTTTTTTTTTTTGGTTTTTCGAGACAGGGTTTCTCTGTGTAGCTTTGCGCCTTTCCTGGAACTCACTTGGTAGTCCAGGCTGGCCTCGAACTCACAGAGATCCGGCTGGCTCTGCCTCCCGAGTGCTGGGATTAAAGGCGTGCGCCACCACCGCCCGGCAAAACTCAATGTTTATTACAGCCTCACAGCACAAAACTATGTAGTCATTTTAAAAGTTACAGAAAAAGTATTTCAGTATATGGAAATATGGTCAAAATAGGACTAACAGATCATTACAAAAACATTAATCTACTATTTTATACATTTAAAAAATATACCCAGAAAAAAATTTATATGACTATGTGTGGGTGATTTTATTGTCTTATATATTTCTGAATTTTCAAAAATTCTATTAGAAGTAATATTTTGTTCTGCTTTTTTGGACTTGTTTTTTGAGACAGGGTTTTTCTGTGTAGCCCAGCTGGGTCTGAAACTCTAGATCCTCTTTTGTCCATCTTCTGAGTTGGATGACAGGCATGCACTGTGCTCATGGCAATAGCCATTTTTTTTTTTTTCCGGAGCTGAGGACCCAACCCAGGGCCTAGCAGCTAAATCCCCAACCCCTTAATTTAATTTTTAGATTTTTTTGTTTTGTTTTGTTTTTTGTTTTTGTTTTTGAGACAGGGTTCTCTGTGTGGCTTTGGAGCCTTTCCTGGAACTCACTTTGTAGCCCAGGTTGGCCTCGAACTCACAGAGATCCACCTGCCTCTGCCTCCTGAGTGCTGGGATTAAAGGTGTGTGCCACCACCACCCGGCAACAGCCATTTCTTAATGCTATTTACTCATTGTATCCATGAGCATACACATGCACACAAGCCCGCAGTGTACGTGTGGTGGAAGTGGGGGTGAAGGGTCAGAGGGCAACTTGTGGGAATCAGTTTTTACTTCCACCATGTGGATCCTGGTATTGAACACAGGTCATCAGACTTGGTGGCAGGTTCCTTTACCCACTGAGCCATCTCACAGGCCTGGCAGTAGCTTTTCTTTCTTTTTCTTTTTCCTTCTCTCTCTCCTTCAATTTTTTTTATTTTTGAAACAGGTCTTTCTATGCAGCCATGGATGTCCTGGAACTCACTGTGTAGCCCAGGCTGGCCTCTAACTCACGGAGATCCACCTGCCTCTGCCTCCTGAGTGCTGGGATTGAAGGCGTGCGCCACCACGTCCACCTTTGCAGTAGCTATTTTTAAGATGAAAAGTGATAAAACCGTTGTATCAAAGTGTAACAATGAGCAATGGGTCTGTGTGTTCATAATGGATCATCTGTGAGCTGAACTGTACTTAGATCTGAAGGGACCTTCCAGGCACAGTGTAGGTGGAGTCTAAGAATGCTCACCTCCCCGACTGTCTGTAGGTTATAGCAGATGCTGTCCTTGTGGGCTGCTGAAGTTCCATAGAGAAGTGCTTTTATGAGCCAGCAAATTCCCAGGAGCAGGTCAGAAAAGCTCAGATAAAAGAGTGGTTTTATCTGTCAAAAGCCACAAAATCTTAATTCAGTAAGTGATGTAGCTAGGAGAAAGAACATACAAATTATCTTTACATTTTGTGCTTTGAGTAGAAAGCTGGAGCCATTGTTTGTAAAGGAAGAGTCCAGATAGGAAGGGATCTGTGACCACTGTACTTCAAAGTCCTGGAGTAAGAGGGCTCATGAACAGCTCAGCCCTCTCACCCTTAGGGACACTCCTTCCTTAGCTATAGGGCCAAAGATAGAATGGACAGCTGAAAGGTTTACAGTGAAGCTGTAACGTAAGTGCCATGGGTGCACAGCCAACATAAAGGTAGATAATGATGTCATAAACTTCATGTTTACAGATGGAGCTGAGGACTTAAAAAGTGAGAGAAATGCCAGGATGAAAAATATGCTGCCTTTTAAGCCTTCTGACTACACTGATGAAGTCTTCACAGTTGCTTGGTCTTTGTATGCATTTGTGTGAGAATGGCATGTATGTAAATGTGCTCATATTGGAAGAAGTGTGCTCCTGTGTATGGACATGAGGACAAAAGAGGACTCTCCACCTTGTTCAGTGAGACAGGGTCTTTCACTGAATCCGTAATAGACTGATGACCAGCAACTCCAGTGGTCCTCTGTCTCCAGCTACACAGTACTGAGGCACAGGCATACACATGATCAAGCCCCGCCTTTTTTTTTTTTTTTTTTTTTTTTTTTTGGTTTTTTTCGAGACAGGGTTTCTCTGTGTAGCTTTGCGCCTTTTCCTGGAACTCACTTGGCAGCCCAGGCTGGCCTCGAACTCACAGAGATCTGCCTGGCTCTGCCTCCCGAGTGCTGGGATTAAAGGCATGCGCCACCACCGCCCGGCTAAGCCCCGCCTTTTACCTGAACTCAGGGCTCCAGTCTTTCACAGCACACACTCTTATTCCCTGAGCCAAATGCCCTAGTCCCTGATTGCTTACTTTTTAGTATCTTTTGGCCTCCCTGTTCCCAATTTTTTTTCAATCACTCTATTTTATTATTTAGTTAATTTTTGAGACAGGATCTCACTCTGTAAACCAGGCTGCCTTCCAGTTGCCTCTGCCTCCTGAGTGCAGGGATTAAAGGCGTGTGCCACTGCACCCAGCTCTTTTCTGATTATTCTACAGAAGAAATATAAAATGTTTATTGACACACAAGAGAAAAATCTAAGACATATGTAGTGATCATGAATGTAAGATACTATAAAATGTCGGCTCTCTTTAAATGCATCTTATTCTCTACAGATTTCCCTGTGGAATTTAACAAGCTGACTTGAAACCTGAAAAATGTATTAACCAGGTATAGCCGAACAGGCTGGTGATTGTGGTGCTCAGCAGACAAAGGCAGAGAATCAAGAATGTGAAGCTACCTGGACTACAGCAAGACTACCTGGGATTTATAACAAATGGTGTCAAAGGAATATTTAGGGTTTAAAGCACTAAGAAAACATATCTAGACTATACTAACACTGTATCTGTTTAACTCGGAGAGAACTGGTCTTCTGAAAAGCCTTGATCTGCTACTTGGGTGTGCAACTTAATCTTGGGCCTCTGTAGTTCCCTCAGGCGTGAAATGGGCCAAACCGCATTCTTCACGGTCTTCCAGACACAGCAGCTCCCCAGCACACACAGAGGCCACACTGTGGCTAGCTGTGAGCCATTTGGCCCGATTACAGCAATAATGGCTCCTGTCCTTTAAGATCTTTATTGAGCTGGCAAGAAGACCACTCATGCCAGCTCTTCATGAGTTGGGGGGTGGGGAGATTGGAGAGGTTGGGGGGGGTGCACATGTCAGCCTGTGTTTTATTCCGAGTTGGAGTCTCCATGCCCATCAGGAAGGCTTTTAACTTGAACATTTTGGTGTGATTATTTTTAAAAAGGATGTTTTTTCTTTTCAAAATGAAACTAATAGCTGAGGAGGATGGGACAGCAAACAAGTGTGTTTCAAGCAGACAAGTCTTGAAACTGCCTCTTGACCACACCAGTGTTCTCCTAAGTCAAGATCAGAAAGCTCACCTAAGCTGGCCGTGGTGGCGAATGCCCTTAGTTCCAGCACTCGGGAGGCCGAGGCAGGTGGATCTCTGTGAGTTCGAGGCCAGCCTGGACTACAGAGTGAGTTCCAGGAAAGGTGCAAAGCTACACAGAGAAACCCTGTCTCAAAAAAAAAAAAAAAAAGAAGAAGAAGAAGAGAAAGAAAGCTGCTCACCTGGAGGGAGGGCCTTACCACTCTTAAAACCCATACAGGCCTCAAACTTCAGACAGCAGCTTCCTTAGTCTTAATAATTCACAGTACAAAGAGAGCCACACTTAATAGCTAACCTCTAGGAACTGAAGGTTATAGCTACAATCCTGCCCAGAAGAAAAGGGAGTTCTGTGGACAGAGGGAAACATTCCCATCTATTATGAGGAAATTATTAGTAAAACAGAATTATCCAATGTGCACAGGTTGGTGCTTTCCTGGCACTTACATCAAAGGCTAAATCACCAGTAGTTCAAACTCAATGGAAAGACATTCTCACCTCTGCAGACGTCTGGGGGTTCTGGAACACAGCATAAGTGATAAGCGAACTCGAACCTATAACACTGAAAGACACAGACCATTGGCCATTACAATACAGTGGTAAAGAAGGACAAACATGGTATGTCCTCATTCATAAGTGGATTCTAGATATAAAGCAAAGAACAATCAGACTACAACCCACAGAACCATGGAGGCTATATATATAGCATGGGGGACCCTAGGATGACTGTGGCTTATAATAAGTTTTGGTTTTACTCAATTACTGAGCAAGCCTCAATGAAACATTTCACTATTAAGGTAAGAATTTATATTACAGCAGGCTGATAATAGAAAAATAAATTAATTAATTAATAAAAAAAGAAAAAAAACAATACAGCGGTAAGACTCCGATTTTTATAATTCATTGGCACAATTGATATGAAATATACCACACACATTTTTACATTTAGATTGCTTTGTGAATTTTCATGCCATCCTTGTCTAGAGGCATGCCAGTTTTCTCAGTATCATTCCAATTTCTCTCACTATGGAGCCTCTGACGGCCTAGACAGAACCCACTATGTAGACCAAGCTGGCCTCAAACTCAGTGATCCTCCTGCTTCAATCCCACAAGTGCTGGGATTAGATGTGAGCAACCATGTTCACCTTCCTCCCAGCGTTTAACATAGTCAGTTCTGAGGTGAGTGCCTGAAACTGGTCTGCACTAGTCCTGTCGACAGGCTGCGGGCATTTCAGATGAGTGCCCTTCGTCTGTTTCCTGTTTCTTAAATTCTTACTTCCACTGGGGGTGTAGGTGTGGTGACCCACCAGAGGAGGGAGACCTGAGGTCAATGTCAGTGTCGTCTTCTATCACTCCAGTTTTTGAGACAGGCTCTCTCACTGAACCTGGAGCTCCCAGATTCAGCTGGACTGGCTAGGCAGCAGCCCCCAAGATCCTCTGTCTCTGCCTCCCAAGGCTGAGACAAGAGGCAGGTAACAACAGAGCTGGCTTTTCATGTGAGTGCTGGGGAGCCTAACTCAGCTTCTCATGCTTAGGAAGCGAGCACTTTATCCACTAAGCCATCTTCCCAGTCCCTGTACCTTTTACTAGTGAGAAAATATCAACATAGGAAAAAATTTCTAACCAAAAAGTAAAATGCAACCCTCAAGAACAAGATGTAGAAAGCTGTACAGCTCTCCTGTTTGCTCATGCAATTCCAACAGTCATGTGACAGGAGACTGAAAAAAACATACCTGAGAGTAGCCGTGGCAAACTGTATCCACTGTATTGCAGGAAAAAACTAAACAAGAGAGAGGGAGAAAAGTCAATCTCTTACATTTAATGTTCAATCTGACTTCCGTTTTGGTGTTTATTAACCATCTCTTCAGCACAGACCTTCAAACCCACTCCAGGTCTGGGAAGGAGTGAAATATGAGCAGAGCTGTGCTAAGGCAGGACCTCGCTGCCCTCATCCCAACTCCTCATAAAAGTCAAATTTTAAAGGAAACAGAGCCCTGAGTGGGAAGTGACTGGGTAAGAACACAAAGTTGAGAAAAACCTTAAGAACGAAATGAGAGAGAGAGAGACAGAGACAGAGACAGAGACAGAGATACAGACAGAGAGACAGAGGGAGAGAGAGACAGAGAGAGGGGAAAGACTCAGGTTTCAGGGAGAACAGACAGACCTAAATGAAGGTGACTGACAGTTAAAAGGACAGAAGAGGGGGAATGATGCAGAGGGGAAGTTCCTGGTGTGGAGAGCAGCACTGTGAGTAAAACACAGAACAGAGGAAGAAAGAGCAGGAGGAGGGGAGGACGACCAGCTTTGACCTTACAGGGTCCCATCTGCCTTCCAGAGGGCTAGTCTCCAGCGGGAGGGCCATAAGGACTCCAGTCCCAGCGACCTCCAGCCCAGGCCCTTCTCAGTCAGGCTCCCAACAGGTAGCTCCACCCCTGCTTCAGCTGGGCTCCACCTCATCTAATCCTGCCCTTACCTTAAGGGCAGGAGGTGGAAGGGCCAAGGAGAGGGACAAAAACAGAAAGAGCAGGCGACAGAAGAAACCAAGTTGTAAGAAACATTAGAAAGTTTAAGACGGAGCAAGAGGCAGGAGTAATAAAAAGCAGAGAGAGTATTTCATAGTAAAAATAAAATAAAATAAAGTTGCAGAAGAGAAATAGAACAGGAAAAAGGGAAGAGAAAGAAATGGGGTAAAACAGAAGCCTGTTAAAACTGATCCCTGCTCGGGGCCAGAACGATGAGAAAGACGGCGGCGGCGGCGGCACATTCAATTAACACAGTTTCAGTCACAGTGAAAATCGAGAAGAGAAGAGCTTTCGTTTTGTTCTGTCTTTCTGTTTTGGTTTTTTTGAGACAGGGTTTCTCTGTGTAACCCTGGCTGTCCTAGAACTAGCTCTATAGACCAGGCTGGCCTGGAACTCACAGAGATCTGCCTGCCTCTGCCTCCGGAGTGCTGGGATTAAAGGTGTGCACCGCCACTGCCCAGTGAGAGAAGAGGTTATTAATGTTTGTTATATTCAATATTAACATATTAAATACTATTTTATGCCATGCCATTTACTCAGTACACTTAAGTGTAATCAATTTTGTATAGGTCAATGTGTTATGAGTCACACAAGGATAAACACAATCTAGATGGAGGCTTCCAGGAGCTTAGAACACAGTGGGGAAATGGTGTGAGCACCAAGAAACAGTCGGAATAGGGCAATGATGTAGAGAACAGCATGTGGGCAGCATCTGGGGAGAGTCTGACAGAGCCTGGGGGAGAGGAAACACAAGAACACTCATTGCTTTAACTATACTTTCCCATGCCCAGCAAACATCTCTCTTGTGTGTCTAAGTGCTGGGGACTGAGTCCAGAGCCTGCCAAACGTCACACATGCATGCTGACCACTGTCCCAGCTCTTGGATACTGTCACGAACACTTGCATGGCTGGAACGATTTAAACGCATGGTGTTCACATCACAGTGAGAGTACAGTCTAGCATGGAAGACCAGACATGGGTAAGTGGAAGACTTCATTTACTAACTTGTCTTAAACAAGTAAAGATCGGTAGGGAAGGGTCTTGGGAACATTTGGAGGTCTCTAATCATGTCCACTTCCTGAGGGTGTGGAGACCAGTGACAGTGTCACTGAGTGATAAGAAAATGCTCTCGGACAAAAGACTATTCTGTTCCTCAAGACAAATCTCAGATTGTTCAGAGAACTTTTCCCTTTGGCATATTGCTAAAGCGTCTATGCTACCTTCCTGCATGAATGCATGTGTGCCTGTGTGCATACACATGTGTATGTGTGTGTGCACATGTGTCTGTGTGTGCCTGTGTGTGTGCATGAGCACTTTCTCCTCGGAGCGCCTTTGCCTTCTTCTGCTACAAGGCTAACCCAAACCCAATGAAATCAGTCATATTCCGTTTCTGCTTCTGTGTTTAAGCACTTCTGTTGATTTGTGTGTATCTTCTTGTGTGGTTCTGAGATTGAACCCAGGAGCTCATGCACACCAGACAGCTGCCCCATCGCAACCCCATTCTTTTTTCTAAAAACCTCTATCACAAGTTCAGGTATATGTACCTTCAGTAACCATGATGGGTACAGCACATATGTTACATATCTGTCTACAAAACAGGAATTCTCTAAACTCCTAACAGGTGTATATGTTGTTTTGTTGCTGTTGGTATTTTTGTTCTTGTTCGGAAATAGGATCTCACTTAACCGCGGCCCTGCAGCCCTGAACTTGCTATGCAGCCTAGGATGGCCTTGAATTTGTAACAATCCTGCCTCTACCTCCAGAGTGCTGAAATTACAAAATGAGCCACAATACCCAGCCTGAGGCTTTACAATAATAATAATAATGGCTGACTTTTAAGTGGTTTCTATGTATAAAGATATATGCTGTGGTAGTGTGAATGTAATTGGGCTCCATAATCTCATAGGGTGCCGAATGTGGTGGTTTGAAAGAAAATAGCCCCCAAAGGGAGTGGCACTACTAGGAGGTGTGGTCTTGTTGAAGTAGGTGTGGCCTTGTTAGAGGAATTGTGGAGGTGGGCTCTGAGGTCTCCTATGCTCAAGCTACTCCCAGTGTCAGAGGTCACTTCCTGTTGTCTGTGGATCAAGATATAGGCAGCACCATGTCTGCCTGCATGCTGCCATGTCCTGCCATGATCATAATGGACAAAACCTCTGTAAGCCACCACCTCAAATGTTTTCTTTATAGGAGTTGCTGTGGTCTTGATGTCTCTTCACAGCAATAAAAACCTAACTAAGACATAGGTTAACATTTTAGTCCTTTCCCCAATTTTTTTGTTTTGTTTTTCAAGACAAGGTTTCTCTGTATAGTCCTTGCTGTCCTGGAACTCACTCTGAGACCAGACTGGTCTTAAACTCACAAAGATCTGCCTACTTCTGCCTCCAAAGTGCTGGGATTAAAGGTGTGCACCACCACCGCACAGGAAGGTATTAAAAAAGTCATACCAGGCTAACATGTTCTCTTTGGACAGAATAACTATAATGGGTGTATATGGCATTTGGACAGAGTAGCTGGTGAGAAACTTTAACAAACTTTGCCAGGCATGGTGGCCTACACCTTAAACCCAGCACTCGGGAGGCAGAGGCAGGCAGATATCTGTGAGTTCGAAGCTAGCCTGGTCTACACAGTGAGTTCCAGGAAAGCTAGGGCTACCTATAAAGACCCTGTCTCAAAGAACAACAATACTTTAGACTAAGCAGTCAACAATACTTAAGGTCATTTCTTGAACAAATAAACCCTGGCCACCATCTACACCCACGTGCTTCAGTAACACAGGTGAGAAGCTGAATTCTTCAGGCACCTTCCTTCCACAGGCTCAAGCAGGCTTGTTTCCAGGAACCTGGACCTGACTTCTGCCACTGGTGAAAACTGGGCATAAGCTGTTTGTGCCCTTGACATGGTGCATGGACAGGTCAGTCTCCCCGCAGCCGGGCTACAGCTCGGTGCTCTCAGAGGAGATGTTAGCCTGGTTTCCCGGCAGGACCCATACAATTTGGTCAGGATGTGTGTTCTGATTCCTGTAGAGTTCACTGGGGTCCCAAGAATCTTTATATCATGGGGACTCTGGGTACACCTGACCTGTGGAGAAAACTGTGAGGTGTCTGTCTGTGTGCATTCTTCACCTCCTCGTTCTGAATCAGCATGAATGAGGCCCAGTCAGTGACCCATCTCACCCGGACAGTCAATGTGTTGTTCTGTCTCTCCAGGACTCTCCCCACAGTCACTGTCAATATTTCAACCAACAGAATCCTTCCAAAAACAAAGCAAACCACCACTATCTCAGTTAGGGTTTTTATTGCCATCATGGTGGGAAGCATGGCGGCACTCGGGTATACGTGGTGTTGGAGAGGTAGCCGAGAGTTCTACATCTGGATCCGAAGGCATCAGGAATAGACTGAGACATACTTCCTCCAACAACATCACACCTCCTAAAAGTGACACTCCATATGAGCCTATGGGGACCATCTTTATTCAAACCATCACAACCACTACCAACAAAAACCCAAACATTAGCAACGACTGCAATTACCCCCATTTCAAACGCATTCGTTTCCACAGCCACATAGCTACTAGGAAAGTCAGTGAAACAAACTCTGCAAACTCCAAACTTCAGTAGACCCACAAAACTGCATCCAAAACCTCCCCAGAAGACAAAACCATGTATCATGATGGCAATCCAGTCTCTGCATTTAGACTTAGCACTGTAGCATCCATTAGCACGCCTCCTCCTTTCGACCTCCATGGAAAGCCAGGATGAGCCTTTAGATTTTCCCATCAGGACATCACTCAAGCAATTAAAACAACTGCTTCTGCAATGCAATTCATAGTAGAGGCATCAATGTGCCACCTCCAACCAATCTACTTCCTTCACTTCTTCCAAAACCTGATTCTACCTGCGTGAAGTAGTACATGTCTTTACTCTCAAACCTTGAGAGACAGGCAGGCAGATCCCTGGGTTCTCTGTGAGTGTGAAGCCTGCCTGGTCTACATAGTGAGTTCCAGGATATCCAGAGCTATACAGTGACTCTGTCTCACAAAAAACAAAACCAAAAAAAATCTACTTCTAGAGCTGAGAAGTCTCAGTAGGTAAAGAGCTTCTGAACAATCCTAATAACTAACGTTCAGAGTCCCAGAACCCACCTAACTCCTCTTCCTCTCCTCCTTTCCTCCTTCTCCTCCTCCTTCTTTTCTCTGTGTAGCCCTGGCTGTCCTGAAACTTGCTTTGTAGGCCAGGCTGGCCTTGAACTTACAGAGATCTGCTTGCCTCTGCCTTCCAAGTGCTGGCATTAAAGGCATGCGCCATCAACCTGGCCCAAGAGTTTGCAATTTTCTTAATAGGTTCTTATTGATTGTAAGACAGAACAGAAATTCTCAAGTTGGTTTTCAAGTTGCTCTCCTAACTTCAAACTATCTTACCATTTTGAGAATTCCTTCCCACCAAGGCACTCATCCCCTAAACTTTAGGGCCTAAAGCGGTCATTTCTATATGGGTCCCTTTCAGTAATTTCCCAGCTGCACTGAGCTTTGAGAACTTACCTGTTTCTACTTCCCATATGAAAGCCTGTAATCCACTGCACTCCTCCATACCCTTCTCAGTACCAAGACATCACTCTTCTACTTAGAGCCTACTTGAGGCAATATATTCAAAAGCAATTTTCCCTCTTAAAATTAATTTTTTTTTGTTTTTTCAAGACAGGGTTTCTCTGTGTTGTTTTGGTGCCTGTCCTGGATCTCGCTCTGTAGACCAGGCTGGTCTCGAACTCACAGAGATCCACCTGGCTCTGCCTCCCAAGTGCTGGGATTAAAGGCCTGCACCACCATCACCCGGCTAAAATTAATTTTAAAATATTTAAATTTTTTTTTTAGGTTTTTCAAAACAGGGCTTCTCTGTATAGCCCTGAATGTTCTGGAACTCACTCTATAGACTAGGCTGGCCTTGTTTAACATTATTTTTAAGGCAGGTTTCATGTGTTGTATCCCAGGATGATCTTAAACTAGCTACATAGTCAAGGATGACCTTGAACTTCTGATCTTCTGCCTCTACTTCCTCAGTGCTGTGATACAGGTATGTGCCACCACACCGGGTTTATGTAGTGCTATAGATGGAGCCCAGAGCTCTGTGCATGCTAGAAAAGCACTCTACCAATTGCAATTCATCCCGAGACCCCCTCTTACACTCTATCAATTTGTGTAATTCATTTTCTCTTTTACTAAGGTAAACTCAAAAATGGGTTTTTCTGAGCTTTCTATACACACACACCCTTGGGGGTGGGGGGAATCTAAACAATGTCTTACCCTTTCCTCACAAGGTCCTAATGACAAAACAAAGTTTGATCCCACCAGGTAGCTAGTCTACCCTAGCTAACTAATGAGTTCATTAGGGTTACTTACATAGCATGGGTGAGAAGTTACAAGCAGGAGCTTTGGTGACCCTAAAGCAGCCACATTGAAGGTCTGCACCCAGCATGGTGAAAACTAGCCCACAGCTGCATGCATGGTGCTTCCTTCCTAGTTCTTCCCAGCCTGTATGCTCCAGCTCCTCCCTAAGCCACACAGAGTTAGGGCAGAATTGCATACAACTGGTTTGGGAGGAGTGGCTGGATACTCAGGTGAGGGTCCTAAGTAAGGCCCTCGCATCCCTCCTAGGAGGGAATGTTAACAGTCATTAACATTAACAGAATGTTATCAGTTGTGATGACCGTTTGGAAGTGGGCACACCTGATCTGAAGATGGTGGCAAATTAGGCTTGGAAGACAGTCCTATATAATATACACATTAAGTTCTTTTTCTCAGACTTACCAAAGATTAGATGTAGCTAGTTTTCCTTCCTAGCCCACGGTCAGGACAAATCTCTCTCACCTGCCAGTCCCATAGCTGCTCAGACCCAACCAAGTAAACACAGAGACTTACATTGGTTACAAACTGTATGGCCGTGGCAGGCTTCTTGCTAACTGTTCTTACAGCTTAAATTAATCCATTTCTATAAATCTATACCTTGCCACATGGCTCTTGGCTTACCGGCATCTTCACATGCTGTTTGTCATCGTGGCGGCTGGCAGTGTCTCTCTGACTCAGCCTTCCACTTCCCAGCTTTATTCTCCTCCTTGTCCCGCCTATACTTCCTGCCTGGCCACTGGCCAATCAGTGATTTATTTATTGACCAATCAGCAACACACTTGACATACAGACCATCCCACAGCAATTAGATTCTGCTATCTTTGATGACATGCAATTATTGGATACATACAGTAGTTAATTACAGTGCTAAATTCTTTTGTTTGTTTTTTTTGAGACAGGGTTTCTCTGTGTAGCACTGGCTGTCTTGGAGCTCGCTCTGTAGACCAGGCTGGCCTCGAACTTACAGAGATCCACCTGCCTCTGCCTCCCGAGTGCTGTGACTAAAAGTGTGTGCCACCACTGTCTGGCTATCCAAAGTCTCTTAACATTGCGTATATGTGCTTTTTTTTTTTCACTGTCACAAGCATTTTATGCCAGAAACTGACATATTTGTGTCTTTTCACGTCAGAATTTACTAACAATACATTCACCAAGCTATTTGGTTTACTGGCTGCAACTTACCAAGTAATTTTGAATCCAGGAGTATGGATCCTGGCAATCATGGGTCCTTTTATTCCAGAAGTAGTTACTGCCACTAACTCTTAGCTCACCCATTACTCTGTCATCCAATAATATGTTTACACAGACTACAGAACAGCCATAAGAGTTACAGATGCCGCAGAGTTCTGAGAGGCGGTCCTGATACAATCTCAATTCAAATTCTGCAGGGGCCTTAAGAAGCGTCTCACTAGACACAGGCTCAGAGTTGTCAGCACAGGCCCAGGTGTCTGGCCGTTTCAAACGCTGAAGTGGACAAAGCATCACAGGATGGAGAAGCTGCACTCAGGCTGGAGTCTTGGAACAGAGAAAGAAGGCTTTCACTTCTGTCAGTGTCTTATATTGATGGGTCAAAATGAGGACACTCTGTACAGTTCCAGGTGTGGGTATATCTGGGGCAACACGTTTAGAGTTCATATGGAGTCTCTGCTTTGATTTGATATGGTCCCAGGCAGCATTGCTTATTCACACAGAACAAATGCTGTGTCAGTTGGTACATCCTGGTGCCCTGACAGACAGTTGTTGACTTGTGTGAACACAACACAGAGTCATTTTTCCTTGGCACTTAGCTTCAAAAATGTGTTGCACTTTTGCCAGAGAGCAGCAATTGTACACAATGGAGTAAGCCAGGGTAGGCTCAGACGGTTCTTCCACGTGAATCAATTTGTTTAATCAAAGTCTCATGAATTCTTTTTTTTTTATCCAGACAGGCTTTCTCAGTATAACAGTCCTGGCTGTCCTGGAACTCACTCTGTAGACCAAGTTGTCCTTAAACTTACAGATATCCACCTGCTTCTGCCTCTTGAGTGCTGGGATTAAAGGTGTGCACCAACGCTGTCCAGCAACCACTACTCAGAATTCTGTCCTACAAAACATCTTTTTGTTTGAGACAGGGTCTCTCACTGTGTGGCCCTGACTGGGCTGGAACTTGCTTTAGACCAGGATGATCTTGAACTCACAGAGATCTGTCTACCTCTGTCTTCTGAGTTCTAGTAGATTAAAGGGGTATGCCACCATGCCCAGGCTTCCTGCAAAAGCTTGATTTCACTTTTCTTCAAGCACACACTTGGGGGTGGAACATTAGAGTATGCACATGTCCTTCTACTCAGTTACCATCCCATCCCAAACTTTTTTTTTTTTAAATATTATTAGTTCTTTGAGAATTTGATCCTATTTACTCTCCTCCTCCTAGATCCATATCCCTTTCCTTCCCACCCAACTTTGGATGCTTTTTGTTTTCTCTGTGTAGCTCTGGCTGTCTTTGAACTTGTTTTGTAGACCAGGCCGGCCTCAAACTCACAGAGATCCACCTGCCTCTGCCTCCCTGAGTGCTGGGATTAAAAGCGTGCGCCACCACCACCCAGCTATGTATGCTTTTTTAAATTGCTGGATTTTAACTTCTGTCATCTCCTTTAATATTGCAATAGATACTGAGCTGCCTTCAGCCTTCTCCCTTCTGATCTGTTCCCTTCATCGGCTTTTCTTCTTTAAGCAAGGGTCTCACTCTACAATCCTGGCTGACAGTCTGGTTTCCCATTCACAGAGAACCACCTGTCTCAGCCTGAGCACTGAGATCTAAGGCATGCACTACCATAACCAGCTGCAATCTCTTTTTTCTTGAAGGGACATCAGGCCCGATGGATTGGGGCCCACCCGTACGATTTCATTCAGTTGTAATTATTTCTGTAATTATAATAACTATCTCTCCAAATGCAATCACAGTGCATGTGAGGCACACAATTTCATCCATGACTAGGACACAGCTTATTCTAAACTCTTCCTCAGATTTTCTCTGGTCTCCATGGCTCTCCTTCTCAGGAAGGGCCCAGTAAGATTGGGATTAAAGGTGTGTCCCACCTCGCCCAGCTTTCCCTTCATCCGTGAGTGATGTTTTTATACATAAATCCGACAACACTCCAATTAAAACCTCTGGTGGCTTTAAACCCCTTAGTGAGAACCTTTATTTTGCCTCCTAGTTTGCCTTTTCACAGATTCATGGTGTCCAACATGCTTGACCATATCTGTCACTAACTAGCACTGTTTCCCTTTGCTTCTCAAATGCTTCCTCCCTTTCAACGTCATGCTCTAAATCATCTCCCGGATACAACGCTGACACTTCTGAGCAGGAATGACTAGTAATACTGGATCTTTTAGGGTGGAGAAATACCCTTACAGTGATTAAGAAAGAGATGAGATAGTAAAGATGTAATACTTACTGGGGAGATGGCAGCCCTGGAGGCCAGATACACACAATTCAAGATGTGTTAAGCGAGAAGACAGGGAAGGACCTATAGGTCTTAGGACATAGCAATGTCCAAATATGTTTCCTGGGGGAGAGATTTTATTGGTAGGCTTAAAGTAAGTAGGTATGAATGTCAGGAAGTCACACTGTGACCGAGTGGTGGTATGCCATACCTGCACAGCCTGTGCTAGATGTGAAGGTAAGCATGGTCAGTCAAGAGGAGGGCATCTAGCTGGCTATTAGAGGGGTGACTCCTGGTCAGCAGGTGTAGAAGGCACAGCTATCTAGAACCACCATACAGAAAACCAGAGCTATACAAGTACAAACTGTGTTAAGAGATTACTGAAGGGGCTGGAGAGATGGCTCAGCGGTTGAGAGCATTCGGCTCTTCTTCTAGAGGACCAGAGTTTTTTTTTTTTTTTTTTGGTTTTTTTCGAGACAGGGTTTCTCTGTGTAGCTTTGCGCCTTTTCTGGAACTCACAGAGATCCACCTGGTTCTGCCTCCCGAGTGCTGGGATTAAAGGCGTGCGCCACCACCGCCCGGCTAGAGGACGAGAGTTTAATTCCCAGCACCCACACGGAGGCTTAAAACCACGCCTAACTGCAGTTTCACATGCAGCACACCCTTCTGGCCTCCTCTGGCACCAGGGACATACATGGTGCGTATAATATACAGATAGATAAAACATTCAGGTGCATAAAAAATAAATAAAACTTCTTAGAAGTGACTACTGAACCCTATTTCTAGCATGAGAAAGTACAATTTATGGTCAACACGGATGCCAAGCAACATAAAATTGTGAAGATTTACGACATTAGCTAGATGTGATAATGCACACAGTATTTGGGAAGCCAAGGTGGGAGGATTCTGAATGGGTGGCCAGCCTAGGCTACATAGACACCTTGCTTCAAAAGAGGGGTGGGGAGGCAGGTAAGATGGATCACTCCCCATATTAAAACACTGCTGAGGTGAATGTGTAGGAACTATATGTGTGTGTGTGTACGTGTGTGTCTGTGTGTGAATATGTATGCACGTAGAGGTCCAGTGGCCAACCTATTTTCCTTAAATGATACCCTGATCTTTTTTTTTAAACCTCTCTAAACGTGGAGCTCACGGATTCAATCAGGCTCGATTTGGGGACCTTCCTGCCTCTGCCTAACCAGTACTGCTACGTGTGCTACATACACACCCACCTTGTTTTGACACAGGATCTCACTAAGTTTACTCTGGATAGCCTAGAACTCAGCTTTTTCCTTGGGTGCAGAGGATGGAACTCATTTGGGGTGGGAATGGGGGGGCTTGAATTCAGTCCTGGCCTCCAACTCCAGAGGTCAGCCTGCCAGTTTCCCTAGCACTGGGAGTGAGGGCCTGCGCTGCCACACACACAGTCTGCTGGGTTTGATCCCTGTATACACGGCATTCCTTCGATCCTTGACGGCTGTGCTGAATTCCCACGGGCACAATCAGAACACGGCATAAAATGGTCAAAAAAGGATGCTTGTTTTCTCACTACACATGCGAGCCGGGTCTTGCCACCTTCCTGCCTCGGTGTGCTGAGGTTATGGGCATGTGCCACCTACCTACCACACCTGACCACAACGAGGATACCGACCAGGCCTTTGCCCAAGCTGCTGGGGCAGGGGAGGCCACAGGGCCCAGGTAGCCCGTGGGCCTGACCAGCGCTGCAGCCTGAGGGGGCCTGCAGCCTACGAGGGCACGGCGACGACGACCACGACTAACCGAGGGAGGCGGCGGGTCCCGACAGGCAGCATGACGGCCGAGCGCCGGGAAAGGCGGGGACACCCGAGGCCTCGTCTTCTTCCAAGGCGAGGGGAGGCAGCACGGGACGCGTGGGAGCTTCGCCTCGCGCCTCTGCTCCCGCGAGAACGCGGCGGGCGGGGGACCCGGCCTCGGCCGGCGGCGACGAAGAGCGCGTGCGCGACAGCCTCGCCGCCGTCACCACCCGCTCGCCCCCATCACGTGGCCGCGCCCTCGGCTTCGCCCGACACGCATGCGCGGCCGGCGGACTCTCCATTGCCCCGCCCCTCCCTTCCCAGCCCTAGGGGAGTCACGGAGCCCGGGGGAGGGGCCACTGGCGCGCACGCGCGCTCGCGGGACCGCCCCCCGCCCCGCCCCCGAGTGACGTGAGAGCCCCCTCGGAGCGCTCCGGCCGCAGTTTTCCTATCGCCCGCTCCCCGTACGTAATCTGCTGTGATGGCTGCCGCGGCCCCTGGCGCCGTTTCCCTGTCCCGGCTGCTGTCTCTTCTCCTGGGCCTGCTGCTCCTCTCCGCTCCGCATGGCGGCAGCGGCCTGCACACGAAAGGCGCCCTTCCCTTGGACACAGTCACTTTCTACAAGGTAATGAGGACTGGGGGGCGGGAGGGGGGGGTGGTGGTCGTGCGCAGGTGCAGCTGGACGCCCGTGGGAGCGCGCGCCCATGAGGACGTTGGGCCCCCGAGGGGTGGCAGCAGGAGGCCCCGTGTTGGCAGAGCAGGGGCGCACGCTGACCACCCGGCACCCCTCGCCTGGGCGTTGCAGCACGGGTACTCGCTACCTCCTTTTTACAAAAAAAAAAAAAAATGCAGTGAAGGGAACTAAGTGTCCCTTCCCTTTATCTATAGGGAAAAGACAATGCCGGGAGAGATCCAATCCACGAGTCCCAAGTGGAAGACCGAAGGGCGGGGCGAGGTCGACGCTCCTCGGCTCCCTGATGGGGTGGGGGGTGGCGGAGAGAACTCAGCCCGTTAACATGCGAGTCTGATCCCCCTCTTCTCTGAGGATGGATTGCAGCCTGGTCGGCAGTGTGTACACCACGTTCAGATAGCACGCGGACCCCTACAAAATACAAGGGTTAAAGGTGCAGTTCTGCCACCTGTAGAGAGCATCTTGGGGCAGAGAACGAAGAAGCGCCACTACCCCCTTTTTTTTCCCCCAAAATCTGGTATCCAGGTCCGGGTAAACGGATAGTGGAAATGTTGGAGGATGAGAGCAGTGGCCTGTGTGGACCCAACCTCGTCCTCATGCATCTGTGTCCAGCCACCAGCGGCTTTTCAGTTCCCCTATTGGGCGAGCTAAGAGTGGAGAGAAGTAGTCATTTTCTTATTTTGTTCTCATGGTGAGGAAGTGAAAAGCAGAAGGGAACTCTAAATGCGCCTGTCTCGAGTGGCTGGACACGTCTACTTTGGAAAGGACCCTGCACGTGTAGCCCATTCAGCCTTGTTCTTAGGGATTTAAAGAAAGAAGCCTGCCATATTATTAATCACCCACTCAACTCCGAATAGTCTAAGTTGCTCTATACAGCAGTCCAAGTGTGAATAAAGGAGACATTTAGCACCATCAGTTTAAACCAGTCGGTGCCTCTTCATCTTTACCAACTGCCCCCCTGCTCTGGGCTGTCATCACAGAAACCCCACTGGCTCCTGCCTGCACCTTGAGGTTCCACTTAATGGAGCAGGAAGCCCTGTAGGGAGTGCCCCTTGTCACTGCTCAGTTCCTAGCCATTCGCCCCCTTGTCCAATCTGCTCTAGCCAGCACAAGCCCTTCTGACTGTTCCTAGCTCACAGCTGTTAGTACATCTGCACTGTTCCTTGTGACTGGAATATTCTTTGCCAGGTCTTTGAAATAAGTTACTTCACATTGGTTTGTCTTAGGTTAACTATTACCCCCTCAGGTGCTTTCCTTGCTTTCTCAGGCCCCTGGGCTTAAATTCAGCCCAGTTGCTGTTTTTGTTTGTTTATTTTTTAACTTGTCAGTTTCAAATCTCCCATGGTAGAATATGACATGCTTATGAAGTACCTGATCTATTTCTCTGACTCTCTACACAGCATACCAGATTTGTTATTGAGCATCTAATATGACAGTTGATCTAGTATGCTGTGTTCACGTGAATGAACAGGTGTCTATATGCTTTGCCTTTCAGTGATTTCCAACTTAGAAAAGATTTGTCTTGGTGTTATTTTTGACCTTCACTAGGCGGCTTCAGTAGATGAGAGCCTCTATGTTGATCGTTGCTGTGTTTCAATTAGAATGGTGTCTGGGCCATGATGGGCTCTTAGCAGCTTCCTAGTCAGTGAACAAATAAACAATTTCAGCCAGACAATGGTGTCACACACAGAACTGGTGAGGCAGAGGCAGAAAGGTCATGAGTTCAAGGCCAGTCTAGGCAACGTAATGAGACCTTGTTTTAAAGATCCCAGGGAAGGGCCTATGAGGTGACTCGGCAGGAAGGCACTTCCGCCAAGCCTGACCATCAGAGTTCAGTCCTCTGGCTCCTCGTGGTGAAAGGAGAGAACTGACTCCTACGCACACAGTACGCATGCACAAGGGCACCACTGCATCCTATTAACTCAACTTTCCTTTCTACTCCAGTGTCCGACCACCCTATGATGACTGGTATTCTGTATTACAATGTAGGCCCCCTGGTAGGGATCCCGTGTTGTGCTTTGGGAACACCATGCCACTTCTTACTACCTTGCAGCATCAAAACTGTTAGAACTCTCTTCAGACCATTTCTCAGTGTTTGCCAGACGTCAGTCAGACACTGGGACTCGAGGAGTGCACCAGAACATGGGCCATGGTCCTTATCCTTAGAAATGCACACCCAAGTGGAAAGGACAGAAAATAAGCAAATAAGAAAAGACAGTTTCAGAATGAGATGGGAGAGGGTTAAGGCTGTGAAGTAATAGGTGATTGGGACATTTAAACTGAGCCTTGAATGACAGAGGCAGTCAAGAGAACCCAGGAAGAGGCTTCCTTCCAGGCAGCACGCTAGAACTAGTGTTGAGCAGAAACAAGGCCAGCTGGGCCACAGGGATATGATCCCATTTATATTTTCAGTCTTGCCTGCTGCTGAGCCCTTAGAGCTCTGACTTTTTGGTGTCAGTGACCTGATGTCCCTAAGCAGTGTTAATATCCTTAAATATGTAAAACCAAGTGAATGTTAAAAAAAAATAAGTCCTGCCGGGCAGTGGTGGCCCATGCCTTTAATCCCAGCACTCGGGAGGCAGAGCCAGGCGGATCTCTGTGAGTTCGAGGCCAGCCTGGGCTACCAAGTGAGTTCCAGGAGAGGCGCAAAGCTACACAGAGAAACCCTGTCTCGAAAAACAAAACAAAACAAAACAAAAAAAAGTCCTTTTTACCTCCAGTGATTGCCTGTGATGAAAATATGACAGTTTGGGATTGCTGGACTACAAGCATGAGAAGGTTGATGGAGGCTGGAGAGATGGGTGAGTGGTTACCAGCCAACACTGCCCTTACACCCATGCCAGGCAGCTTACAGCCTGTAACTCTGGCTCCAGGGATCAGACGCCCTCTCCTGGCCTCCTTGGGTACCTGTACTCAGATGCACATAGCCACATATACAGAATTAGAAACAATAAAAATAAATTTTGTTTTTTTA